AGAAAGGGAGGCAGGGAGGGAGGGAGGGAGGGAGGGATAAATGTACTCATTACCTGACTTGTGAAATGGTAATCCTTCTGTACAACACTTTGATAATAACAATAAGGTTATGTTTTAATAATAACAATAAAGTTATATTTCTCTATTTGAGCATAAGTCCTGCATATATTTCAGGCTTTCCTACTTGGGCTGGTTCTCTGTATTCTCCCACTTCCCCTTCTTCTAGCCCCACTCAGTTCAGAGACAGAGAAGATGTGCCTGTTGACTAGTCCAGCATTTCTCCCCACCAGTCCTCTGGCTGTTTTCTCAGTATTCCAAAGCCAGCAACGTGGAAGCTTTCCTCCCCTCTTTCTTTGTCTCACCCCACACCAGCCTACATCCCATCCATCATCAGATCCTGACAACCTGACTGCAATTCATCTCTAAAATGCTTATCCTCATTTCTGATCTGTCACCTCTCAGGACTGTCACTCAAGAGCAAGCCTTGATGGTCTTTTACTTGCACATTCACAACAGCATGCTAAAAGTCTTCCTGCCTCTAATAAGGACCTATCCAGCCTCCCTCTAAGACTCCATCTGACCATGTCATGGTCCTATGAAGTCCCTCCACCAGCACCTCCTCACCGGATGGTGGTTTGAAGCATAGACTCATCTATGAACAGCTTTCCTGAAGGTACACCAGGTATTTAGGACAGTCAGGAACAAGACAGGTTGCAGCCCCTACCCACTTCCTATACCACTAGTAGCAAAGCAGCCCCTTTTCTTCACATTCCTAAGTCCCCAGGACCCAGTAGGTTGTAATGAGCAAATAAGTCTTGAAATCTCATCAGAGAACTTCAGACCCACAGCTCTCAGTCCAGTCTCCATAGAACATCAACAACCCATAGTATTTGTGCAGAAAATGGTTTTTAAGTAGTTCTGATGCAGGATTTTCACATATCATCATTCAAACAATAATGCATTTGGACTTTTGACCTTACTCAACCTACTTCTATGTCATGCTCCGACTTACACTGGACTTTCATTTAATCTTTGCAACTCTACAATCTTCAGTAAGTATCACTGTGAAGAATAGTGGTCTCTTTCATATCTCACCTCACAAAAGACACCCAACTCCAAACAAGACAAACAAGAAAAACTGCAATTCTGATTTGTGACTAAATGATATTGTAACCTAAGAAAGGATCTAGGAACTCTGGGCCAGAGTGCAAGAATAAAATACTATTCAAATTAACAGAAAGCTTAACAAAGTGAATATTAAGAAGCTAAGACATGTTTTGAATGGGGCTGGGGGACAGAGGAGTTAGTGGGAAGTGAGTGGTGAATAAAAGGGGAATGGAATGGTGGATGATCACAGTCATAATATTCAATATACATAAGTGAAACAGGAAATGGGAAACTTGATATGCCCAGTAAGGGAAGGGGTGATTCTCATCAATGTGCACTGTACATATAATAGACGTGTTAAATTGTGATCCCCTTGTCCAACCATTTGTAGATCTTTTAAGTTGTGTGTGTATGCTGGTCCTGTGGCTTAAAGTCAGGTGCTGTCTCCGAGCTTTTGTGCTCAAGGCTAGTGTTCTACCACTTGAGCCACAGCTCCACTTGTAGCTTTTTGCGGGGAATGGGATGGTTACTTGGAGAGAAGAGTCTCACAGACTTTCCTGCCCAGTTTGGCTTTGTACAATGAGCCTCAGGTCTCAGCCTCCTGAATAGGTAGGATTGCAGGCATGAGCCATGGATGCCCAGCTTAAAAATGTTAAAGATTATATCACTAATCATTGAACAGTGTCCAAGACAGCAGTGTTATATTCATCAGGCCCAGGCTAGCAGTCAAGTCCTTTGTGGAGGAAGGTAAGTCATCATCCTCATGGCCGCCCGACTCCCACTGTTCTAAATCCACAAACACCCAGAAGCCTTTTGTGACTAAGTTAGTTTCCCAAGTATCTTGATAACAGTATGAAATAGCTCTGGCATTTCAGTCACTGAAATATAGTTTCCCTCATGAGCTAATGCATGGACATGCTGGTTTCCACACCCATCTCGTGTGTATTTGGTTCACATAAATCAGTTGTCATGGGCACATTCAACTTCGGGTGCAATGACAAAATAGATTTCACACCCCCGCAGAATTGTCACTGAACAGACAGCCACTTTCCTTTACCTCTTTACCACTCCTTTACAACATCATTTCACTATTTCTGTACAGTACAGTCACAATCCATAAGGTATTTTCACACTGTATTTTTTATCCTCCTGAGTTCTAGAGGAAAATACTCTTCTCCACAAAGGAGGCTCAGGTTAACTGAGCAGTTTGTCCAAAGATGCCAAGATCTGCAACCTGTGAATGATTTTTCTTTGCCTGCCCTTTAAATGTCCCAAGACAAGGATTCAAATGTTTTTTTTTCTTTCTTGCGACTGTTTCTAACATATTTATAAGATGATTTCTTTGTTGCTTTGTATGTCCCTCCCCCACGGTATAACCCCTGTTTTTACTGTATTTGATGTTGGTATACTTTGTGGAACGGAAGGGAAAAAACAAATTGTTTAAATAGGGATACAGGTGGACCCATTGCAACAATGAGATGTATACGACGTTATGTTGAAAAACAAACTTTACAACTTTGGCAGGGGTGGGGTGGGGGTAGGGAGGAGGAGATGGGAAGGGATGGGAAGGGGAAACAAAGGAGGAGGCAACCATGCTTGATAAGAAATGTACTTATTACCTTGCTCATGTAATTGTAACCCTCTGTATGATATTTTTACACTAAATAAAAAAATAAAAATAAAAAATAAATGTCACAGTGGAATAAACAGAGGTTCTCTAAATCAAAATCCCTATCCTTTCTACTCCTTCCCAATGCTTTTCAAACTTTCATAGAAGTCCACATAGAAATAGACCTGATAAAGATGTTTCTCCTGGATGAACCCATAGCTGAAAACTGCCCCCTAAAAAATGACAACGGGGAAATTTCCAAAGGAGAGTGCTCCAAACCAGGCAAGATAGGAGCAGTTAGGATTCCAGAGAAAGAAGCATTACCGCTAGGGTGATCAGTTCACAGCATTAAACAGGTGAACTTATATGAAGAGGAGACTGTGGCACACTTCGGTGGCCAGCAAGACAAGGCTGTTTCACCTAGATTCAGTGAGCAGGTTGGGTCATAGAGTTTTATATGAAGGTTTAAGGAATTTGTTTCAGGGCAAGGGCCAGTTTCTAGGTGTTTCGCAAAAGGATTAACTTTTCAGTATTTTAAGCAACAACCTAGACAAGTTTATTAGTGTCAGGGAATACTCAAGGGTGGGTTCAGGACTTCAGGGAGCATCAGCTGGCTGGGTCACAAAGCAGTCAAGGCACCCTTTGTTCCTCTGTAGGACACAAAGAAATGAGAAGAACTGGGGGACCTACCAAAAGGGTGACTAGAGAAGAAGGCTAGAGTTCACTGGAGTGTATTTACATAATACTCTTGTCCATCTAATTGCTATGTATTCTTCCTAGCCCTGGCCAACCCAGCTGGTAGGAAAACTTTTCCTAATGAGGACCTAAGAAAATGTTCCTGGGTGTCGACTGATTTTTTTTCGTGGTCTTGTAAAGCTGATGTTTCCTTGTTCCTTTGGACAAGTGTCTACCGAGGTGTCTGAAATATAAGAAGCTATTTGATCATAACCAGACCACCAGCAGCAGCAGCAGCAGCATTGTGAAAAATCAATGCTTATGGAGTGCTTGCTGTGAGCTCAGACACATCCACTCATCTCTTTCAGTCGTCACAATAATTTCTGTAAGGAAGATGTTATTATTCCCATTTCAGAGGTATTAGAATTGAGGTGCAGAAAGATCTGTAACTTGTACCTCTTCATACAACTGGAACTCAAGAACATACATATCTAAGTTCTAGTGCGCAATGCATGGGCCACTCTGCATTTGCCCTGGTGTGACTTTACAAGTTCACTCAGGGGAGGGAGAGGGTCAGAAATGCGTGCATGGGGGGCGCATTTTGGAAATGATGCAGCACTTAGAGTGGTGACAGGAAGGACTGGCATATCTGATTCTCTATTACCACTCTGGGTTCTTCAACCCCTACTGCCCAGGCCAAAGGGTGCATTTGGTTACAGTGTCTGCTTACCCTGCATTACCTGTGCCCCTCCCCCAGGAACACTTAATCCTTTCCTTCTGCTCAATGTCAACTCCTCCATCCCAACCTCCCTCCTTCCTTCCCAAACTATTTGATCATTTCTGTTTCCAAAAAAGTCTTCTCAAATGAATAAAATCTGTCACCCCAGTCTCCCCCTTTCTCCATTTCCCTCTGTCTGTTTGGGAAAGAGCATAATCTCTGGGATTCCACCCTAGCTAAATGTTGCCTGACCTGCCTTTCCATCTTATTCATGTGTCCCTCACAGGTCACCTGGCCTGAGATTTTTCTCTCTTTCCCACAAAACAAGATCAACACAGCCATAAACAGAGGAGATTGAGACTGGGAATTTCAAATGCAGAGTTTATTGCAGCAAAACAAGGAAGTGGGGAGTGTAAGACTTCTCCACAAAAGCCAAACAAGTTGCATACACCTTATGTACAAAACCAAGCTCTACAGAGCCGGGCTGTAGAGACAGGATCTGGAGAAGCTGTCCAGAGACAGGTGTTCTCAGTGTGACCAGGAAGCCCTGGGTCTGATTGGTCCTCCTCTGGCTGGATTAGGAGGGCCTTTGAAATATCACCTGAGTGTGGTAATCATTGCTGAACTGTTTCTCAGGCAAAACACAAAGCAGCAGCATCACCAGGGCAGTGAGATTGCCACTGATCTGAGAACTTCTTTGGGAAGCAGAGAAGAAAAAGAAAGGCCGGGAGTGATGGGAAGGGAATAGGATGAACCAATGCCATTAACTATAGCTCTCTTGTCTCCATTTAACTTGGGGCAGTTGACTCTGGGCTTGCCAAGTTTATCTGGCAAGTGATGGAGAGAGTGAGAGAGAAGAGAGAGAGAGCTAATGGGGGAGAAGACACCACTTTATCTGGTTGCCTGGGAATAACTGGTGGAAACAAACTTCACACTAGAACCACCAGAGCTCTTGACACCCCCAGAGCTGGATCCCCGGCCTCCGGAGGAGGAGCCATAGCTACCTCCTGAGCTCCCACCGCCGGAGCCCCGGCCGCCAGAACTGCCTCCACCTCCTCCAGAGCCACCTCTGTGGCCTCCGCTGCCTCCGGAGCCTCCATAGCTTCCAGAGCCACCGCCGCCGCCACCGCCAGAGCCGTAGCTGCCACCTCCGGAGCCATAGCCCCCACTGCTACCACCGCCTCCAGAGCCACCATAGCTGCCGCCTCCTGAGCCTCCATAACCACCTCCTCTTCGGCTGCTACTTCCACTCATGCTGGTGTGGCTGGTGCTCACCGCTGCACAGGGGAGAGAGAATCCATCAGCATCCATTCCATGTCCATTTCCCATCCCTCAAAACCTGCACACTCCCTGAGAAATAGGCTTGTACTTACACACACTCACATCCGGGGTACATTCTCCAGACATCCTGCAGGAGAGAGACAGAAAAAAAAAGCAGCCCCCTTAGGACATGATTGCTTTACAAACTTGTTCTTCTCTGCCACCCAGAGCCACCACAAACCTCTCCAGGCCAGCTGCCTCATATCCCCTTGATCTAAAACCTACTAGAGAAGGGGAACACCCTTTAGCTTCTGTCTTCCCCCCCCCCCGCCAGCACTGAGTACAAACATAAATCTCCATATAAATTAGACAAGAGTCTTCTTATAGCTAAGAGTAGCCACATCTAAAGGCATTGATTTTGGTATCAGGAAAAGAGACCATAGGAAATGAACTAGTAAACTGAAATGGGAATGGAAACTTAAATTTGGGAGCGTGGCTCCCAACAGGAAGACAAGCCTTGGCTTTAGCCATTTTCCCAAACCAGAACATGCTGCATCCAGGTGGCTGTGTTATTGCCCCCAATCAGTTTGCAAGAAAATGAACCTTCCAAGAAAGAGTGTTAAGGGGCTGGGTCCCTTACTCACCTGATCTCCTCTCCTTCCAGGAGAGTTCTGTAAGTAGCTATCTCCATATCCAGGGCCAGCTTAGTATTCATCAGATCTTGGTAGTCACGCAGCAGCCGAGCCAAGTCCTCCTTGGCCTGTGTCAGGGCATCTTCCAGCTCATTCAGTTTGTTCTGGGCATCTTTCAGGGCACTCTCACCACGCTGTTCAGCATCACTGATGGACTGCTGGAGGTTGGAGATCTGAGAAAAGAGATCCCAGTAAATTGCCTAGTCCCACCTTGGCCTTCCCATTGCAAATGTAATCCCTTCATCTCAGGGGTAGGGGGGAATAGACTAAGCTCCACAGAATCACTGGACTCTGTCATCTCTGAATAGTATATCACTACATGGACATCCTTTAAAAAGACATAAGGGGTGATAGACAGTAGCCTCTATTGGCCCAAGCCAAGACTCCTCTAGCTCTTCGTCAACACTCCTGCCCTGAAACTTACCAGCCTACATGCTCTTCAGTTTCTAAGTCTGCTTTAGATCATGGGTTAGATCATTCATTCTATCACTCTGTTCCCTAACTAGGTCACTTTCACAGATTTCCCTTAACAGAATTCCACGTGGTAGCTAATTTCTGGAAACTAATCCTAGCCACCAAGAGATATGAGGATAATGAAGGTGTATGGATTATGACTCCCTGCCACCTGAAAGTCACAGTCACCCCCATTCCATGCAATTAAAGAAAACTAAAAGCAAGTACCTGCTTCTTGACACTGTCGATTTCAGATCTAAGTCTCTGGATTACCCGATTCAGCTCAGAAATCTCCATCTTTGAGTTCTTCACGCTGTCACCATGTTTCCCAGCAGTGATCTGCAGCTCCTCATACTAAAGACAGTGGTTTGTGTCAATTACATGTGGGTAGAACCCAGTTTGCATACAAATATGAGAGAGATACAGCACAGGGCAGCATATATCAGGGCAACTGGCTAAGCCTTCCGGCACTCACTCTGCTCTGGTATACACGCTCAGCCTCAGCCTTGCTCCTCTGGGCAATGTCCTCATACTGGGCCTTGATTTCTTCAATAATGCTGTTCAGGTCCAGGCTGCGGTTGTTGTCCATGGACAGGATCACATTGGTTTCACTGATGTGAGTTTGCATCTGTGACAGCTCCTACAAGACACAGTCATTTGTTACATTGATAAAAACCAAATGTTAAAAACGCTTTTAAAAATGCTAAAAACCAAACCACTTAGACTGAGCAAGGGGTTAGAAGATGGGGTCAGCCTTCAAGACTTTCCATTTAGGCAGCATTGGTTGAAACCAAAGGACTTACCGCTTGGTAGAGTGTTGTTAAGAACTCAATTTCATGCTGCAAGTTGTCCACTTTGGCTTGAAGATCTACCTTGTTCATATAAGCAGAATCCACATCCTAGAGGAGCAAAAGGCATCAGGAAGCCATAATCTTTCCAGAATGGATCCTTCTTTCTAGCTATGCAGGGTTTTTTTCAAGTAGAAGTACAGTTTGGGGTCTAATCCACATCTATACTGTGAATCAGATAGCTCCAATAGAATTGTTACCTATCTGATCAGGTAGATCAGATCAGATCTGATAAATCAGTTCCTGAATTGTTTCACCTCTTTGTATTAGTCCAGGAGCTAGCCTGACTCCTTCTAAACTTCCTCCCTCCATACAGAAATATGGATGGTCTGAGTGCCTGGATTAGTGCAAAGCCAAGGTAATGTGAGAAAACACCTCTACTTCAGGTCCTCAGCAGGCCCACTATCTACTTCCAGAATATGGCTTCGTTTTGCTTACCATTGGAGAGTCTCTCCTATTATTTATTTTACAGGTGGGTTTCCACTAAAGAATTGACCCACCTTCTTGATGGTCACAAATTCATTCTCTGCATTTGTCCGTTTGTTGATCTCATCCTCATACCTACAGGAAAGTGGAATGGTTAGGAGGCTGAAAGACAATGAGGCCAGAAGCCCAGCATTCTAAACTAAAGGTGGCATTGCCTTTCTAGTTCAAGTTGGCACATCTTGTCCACCTCTGTCTTCTGAGCAACAAAACATTAAACTATTTCCACCTGCTGAGAAGATGAAACATTCTGAAAATGCCCAATTGGTTGACCTCTAAGCTTAAGGAAAAACACAGTTGCCTCCTACTTCATATTCTTAGCTTATTATTTTCTGAGAATAGGTTTAGAGCAAGAATTAACAAGTGCCCAGGCAGGGCTCCTTACTTGTTCCGGTAATCCTCTACCATATCTTGCATGTTCTTCAGTTCTGAGTCCATCCGATTTTGGTCACCCTTCAGTTGGTCCAATTTCTTTCTGAGATTGCTGATGTATGACTCGAAGTAAGGCTCTAAACTGTGGGTTCTGGTGGAGGTATCCACCTGCTGGAGCAGCTCCCATTTTGTTTGCAGCACCTGATTCTGCTGCTCTAGGAACCTCACCTAAAACACAAGACCCATTACTCTAGTGCAGAGTTGGGCTACCATGGCCCATGAGCATAGCCAATGCCTTATTCAAATAAGAACTTTAGTTTCTATCCCTGTCTATAACAAACAGAAATCAGAAGGCAATTACCAAGTCATCATCTTAACTACAAAACCCTACTCACTTCTTAACTCAGAGAAGCATTGGAAGGAAGTAGCTACCTAAAACCAATAGCAAGGCACATGTCAAATGATTGTGACTATAGTTTTAAACGGATGTAAGATATTTAAGAACTCTGCCTTCCAATGTTTTTAGGTAGTCAGCCTTAAGAATTAGTTTGCATTCCCTGAGTATGCACAGGGTTCAAAAGTATGGTTTGAAATTTATGGTAAATATGAATTTGAAATTTATGGTAAATAACCTTGGGTTAACATGATTGATGATTAAGCAGAAAAACAAAAGCTGGTCCACACGTTTTGTTTTGTTTTGTTTTTCTCAGAACAGATTCTTCAAAATATGAATGTCAAAAATCTCTCCTTGATGCAGTACCAATGTGCAATTCTCAGAGGGTGGAGCTCCATTTTGAGAGCAAAAGATGTTCAGCACTGACTCATCCCATCCTTTCTGCCATCAAGGATTCTCATTGCCTCTCAGTTCCCTTTTCATCAGCTAAGAAGATCCTTCCAGGGGTCTAATTTATATACCCTAGAAAGTTTCATTAGCCCCATTTCTATTATCTTCATTCAAAAGAAGTAGGTCCCCATTCAGTTCAAGAGCTCAAGCATTAACACCAGAGGCCAAGCAGTAGTGGCTCACATTTGTAATCCTAGCTACTCAGGAGGCTGAGTTCTGAGGCTCATGGTTCAATGCCAGCCTGGGAAGGAAAATCCATGAGATTCTTATTACCAATTAACCACCAGAAAACTGGAAGTGAAGCTGTGGCCCAAAGTGGTAGAGAGCTATCCTTTAGCAAAAGAGATCAGGGACAGAGCCCAGACCCTGAGTTCAAGCCCCACAACTGACAAAAAAAAAAAAACCACCAAAGAGTAAATGTCAGTTTGATTCATATTTAGGTCATCCACATACTCCTTTGTCCAAGAAAGAATATAGTTATTAGCATAGTTTTAACATAGGTCCTGGAAGTCTATTCACAAAATATCATTTCACAAATCTCCAAACAAAAATATAACGTTAAGCCTACTCATGTCTTGGCTGCTCCAATCTCAAAGGATCTAGGAACAGCCCTGCTAGAGCACTGAACAGAGAGTCTCACCTTGTCGATGAAAGAAGCAAACTGGTTGTTGAGTGTCTTGATCTGCTCTCTTTCTTGAGACTTTACTTTTTGGATCTCAGGGTCAACCTCCACATTGAGGGGTTGAAGGAGGCTCTGGTTGATGGTGACTTCCTGTATGCCACCAGGGGGGCAGACAGGCCCAAAACCACCGCCATATCCACCACCTCCAAACCCACCACCCCCAAAACCACCCCCACCAAAACCACCCCCACTGCCAAAACTACCACCGCCAAAACTACCACCACCAAAACCACCACTGCCGAAACCACCGCCAAAGCTACTGCCACCACCAAAACCACCAAAGCCACCACCAAAACCACTCCGTCCACCTCCTCCAGCCACACAGGAGGAGATGCTCCGGCCACCACCAAGGTCAGTAACGCTCTTGCTTGAAAAACCACCACCACCACTATATCTTCCACAGAATCCTCCTGAGAATCGCCCACCACCGCCTCCACCACCTCCTCCTCCACCGCTGCGGCGCACAGAGCTGCTGGTGGACCTGCGGTGGAAGCTGACCACACCGGCAGAGCCGGAGCTAAAGCCCCGGCTACCCCCACACATCGACCTGGAACTACACTGTCGACTCATGTTGCCTTCGAGAGAAGTAGAAGCAAAGAAGAGAGAGGGAAAGAGCTAAGTACTCCTCTGCCCTGAGCCCAGAGATGTCCCCTTATATATACAGGGAAGAAGTTGGGCTTGGTCTCCAGAGTCAGCGGAGATGCAGTGCCTCAGAAGGGCTTGGCTTGCCTGCAGCCATACAAGATTTTTACGAGCCTCAACAATACGATAAACACTACACACCTAGCTCTTAGGATGTTTTCTCAAAATTGCTGTGCCGGCAAGATTGGTTCGTGTGGTAATCATTTTATCAGACGGGATCTCTCTTAGAGTGCTTGTGACTTTGGGAAACTAGGACCCCACATCTGCTCCTTGTGTTGCTGGGAGGATTTCATAACCCTGGACAAAAGGGCATACAAGTCTCCATGCTTGCCTTGCCTTCAGGAGCTGTAAAACACACACACACACACACACACACACACACACACACACACACACTATCTCATTGTGAGCAGCAGTGTAATTCCCCAGGTTGAAGGAACTCTCTGGCCCATTTCCTAGATGTGCCCTCCAAAATCATCAAGTTACAAAGAGTGGAGGCTTCCAAAAGTCAAAAATAGAAGTTTTTTTAATTAAAGAATACATACAGGCATATAAGTTCTTATTAATGTGGTGCATTGATCGACTAAAAGAAGAGAATCTATCATCCAACAGGATAAATGGATAGGTGCTTTGCAACCACCTGAAGAAAAAGACCTGTTCCCTATGTGTGCACGCGCTCATGCACACACATGCACACCAGTATTGGGGCTTGAACTCAGGGTCAGGGTTCTGTTTCTTAGCTTTTGTTCTGTTTCTTAGCTTTTTCCTCTCAGGTCTGGTGCTCTACCACTTGAGCCACAGCACCATTTCTAGGTTTCTGATGGCTAATTGGAGATAAGAATCTCACAGACTTTTCTGCCCAAAATGGCTTCGAAGCATGATCTTCAGATCTCAGCCTCCTGAGTAGCTGCAATTACAGGCATGAGCCACTAGTGCCTGGATTATACCTTATTGTCTAAATTTTCCAGTTGTTTCTTTTTTTCAGAGATGCAGTGGATATATACTGCATAACAGAGACAACAGCAACAGAAAACAGGTACCATGTGAGTTCCAGTTGAAAAAGCCTGTGGAGCAGTGAGATGAGTTGATATTTGAAACATCTTGTAAATCAAAGTAGAGGAGGTAAGATTTGGCCTTAGGAGAGATAAATGCATATTTTTGAAGGGAAGATAATGAGAGTTTGAAAAGCCTGATCTGACTTTATGCTGTTTCTGCACATCATGTTGATGATGATGATGACAATGATGGTGATGATGATGATAATGGTAATGATGACGGTGATGATGATGATGATGACAGTGACAATAGCTACCATGTATCAAAAACTGACCATGAGCAGCCTCTGTTCCACATATTTTATATATATATATATATATATATATATATAAACTCAATTTTCACAAACACTTTGGGATTGACATTATTCTATCCAATTTTAAAATGAGGGAACTGAGGCATGGGGGTTGAAGATCCTACCCAAGTCTATATACACAGTTGGTAAGTGGCACATCTGGGATTTAGACTGAGGATTTCTAACTATATACAGTGCACAAGAGCCTAGCCCTTGTGGGATATGACAGCCCCTCAGTTGAATTCACTTTCTCTACCTGATGTAATAAAGCCAGACAGCATGGGAGGCTGGCCCACTGCAGAGTGGTCTGAAGGCAGGAAGACTATGTCATTGAGCCCTTGGCTCCTGGCACCTGAACATCCTTGGGAAATGCTCCTTCCATTACTCTGAAAAACAGATTTTGGTGATGTGGCGTTCACGAGACTTTGCTTCCAGGCAGATACAGGAGTACCCAGCATGCATTGCAGCCAGCCCAGACACACCAAGAGGCTTGCTGAAGCGCAGTATTTGATCAGTATTAACAGACAGTAGTCACCCTGAGATCTGGCAAGACCTGAACCACACACAGACTTCCATTCAGGGATTTCTTCGAAGCCTGTCATGCGCCCCACACTTACATATAAAGACAGAGTGGAAGACTCCATGGGGAAAAGCCTACTCTAACATCAGCAGGTTCCAAGGGACTCTGGGAGGGGCTTTGCATAACAGGGAGAGTCCTCACTGAACAACACAAGAGAAAGGGGCCTGCTGGAGACAGAGGATCTGTGAAGACCATCTGGTCCCCTTCCAAGGTAGTTCCCTGTCAGTCTCCCCTCCTCCATCCTCACCCTTAACCCTCATCCCTCTCTTCCCACACATTCACCCTACCCTCCTCCAGAAAATGCCCCCTTGCCTCTCCATTGCTCCCCCTGTTCCCTCCTGTCTCCATAGAACTGGGACTCCATTCTAGCATTGACATCCTTAGACTGCTAAAGCAACTATCTCTTGAGGGAATGAGTAATCTGGGACTTGGGAACAATGGGGACTGGGATAGTCCTGGCATGGTAATGAGTGTTACCTAATTATCTTCTGACAGGCAATCAAAATTCTTTCAGTTCAGCATACTCCCTATGAGACATATCACTCTGCACAATCGATTCCTTCTAGCATTTTGGAGGGGTGCACATACAAGTGTGCAGCTTGTGTGCATGTGTATCCCTACCAACCACCAGTCTCTACAATGATTCCCGCTTCTACACTAGGACTGACAGAAAGAAAAAGGGACAATAGGTAAGCAATTAGTAGACAACTTACAAAGCTGCAGACATTTTCTAAGGGCTACTATGGGAAGGGAGAAGCACAGGATCTAGAAAAAAATCATCATCCATTTACATCTGCACATCTCTCCCCACAGAATGCGCACACTTGCACACACACACACACACACACACACACACACACACAATCTTCACATGCTGAGAACTAGAGACGTAAACCCATTATACAAAGTGGAGGCTCGCAGACACTATGGGAAGCTCTAGACTCTCCAGCTAGGAGTATACACATCTGGGATTAGAGCCTGGGGTTTTTATGGATTGTTTCCTGAAACTGGAGAAGAGATACAAAGACAGACAAGTGGAGGACCCTATAAATTAGTATCAAAAAACTCACTGAATATTTTCCATCCATGGAGCATTAAGGACACACCAGCCTGCCAAGCAAAGATAGAATGTCAGCTCCAAGAAACAGATATTTGTCCCAGATGTACAATCAAGTCCTGGGAATCCTCCAACTTTTGAATCCAAATCCTTTTCTCTTTCCAGGGCTGGCTTTCAGTGCCACCCAGCCAGGGAGGAACTACAATGGGGCTCATTCATTTCCTGCAATGCCCCCAGGAACATAGTAGGTATGTGGAGATATTTAACACACACACACACACACACACACACACACACCTCCACTGCTGGTTTATTTATATACTCACGTTTACAAAATAAAGACAGAAGTGAAAAGGGAAAGCGGTACTGACTTCTGCAAGTACTATATCTCATTTAAATGATATGAAAAGTTATCGGGCTGTTAATGTCACCATTTAAAGAAAAGATAACATAGGTTCATGGAGGTGAAACTCTGTATACAAGATCACCCAGCTGGTAACTGACAAGCCAGGCTTCTCCAGCCCTGAGTTCACACCTCATGGCCTTGGCCTGCCTTATCACCAGTATCACCTACACCTTTTTGGCTCACCCGTCATCAGCTTCACACCATGACCCTTCCTCCCACACTTTGCTGATCATCATTTTCTTACTTCCCTTTTCCTCTCTTTTCCCAGCTCATTTTCACTTTAAGGCAACAACTGGCTCTTCCCATAGTGGAGTTCTGGAATCCCCTCAATCTCAAATCTTCAGCATTTGGTCCCAAATCTAATTTTCTGTCCCTTGACTCTCTTGACAACCAATACCTTTCTCTCTTCTTCTTTTTCTTCCACTCACTGCTGTATTGGTTTCTTTTCCTATTCTCTGTTGCCGTTTGCCCAAGTACACATTGATGTATCAGTTGGCCATTTGCACATGCATATAGGAATGTGTGTGTATGAGTATGCATCCGTATGAGCATGTGTGTTTGCTGATGACCCTCCCCAATTGCTTAGTAAGTCTTTGGGAAGCCATACTAGTCCCACACATCTATGGTCCCCAGCATTTGTGGGGTATGGCCAGCAGTACTGGCTGACAAGACTGCCAGAACACCTGCCCAAGGACTCACACACACCCCAGAGCCGATGGCAGAGAGGTTGCACAGGCAAGCTGTGGGGCATAGGCAGAGGCAGGCGTGGTGATGTTTTGAGAGTTTTTTGAGGGATGGGACTGAGAAAAGAATTAAAGAGAAACATGCAATGACAAGCCACCTAGCCCTGCGGGGCTCTACCAGGGAAGGGACGTGGGAGAAGAGAATTTCAGGGGAGTGGGGAAAGCCTAAGCCTGGGAGGAGTGCAGGGGAGTCACAGACAATGGGGAGGCGGGGTGAGATGTTGAAAGCTGTCAGGCAGCAGAGGAGGGGCCAAGACTTTTTATGCAGGAAAGAAAAGTGGGGAGTGAGGGGCAGCCCCATTGAAGACAGACAGAAAGGAGGGCTCACCCAGGAACCAGCCACATAGGAGCAGAGCAGAGGCCAGGGGAGAGAAAGCCAAAGATGCAGGAGAGATGCAACACAGCTTGTCTTAGTCTGTGTTCTCTCCCCAGTGCTCATTTCTAGCTGGGTGACTCCAGGCAGGTCATGATTTTCTCTAAGTTTTCTCCATTGTAAAATAGGGACTATACTTTCCAAGGAAACCACAGGGTGTCGTAATCAACAGTGGAGGAAGGATCCACTCTTACCCTGGCAATTGGAAAGACCTAAAACTTGGGATCATAATCAGAGAAAACTTCAGAACAAGCCTCTGTCTCACTGAAAACAGTGGACAGGCTAAGTTGACATTCATGAAATGAGATCTTGTAAGAGAAAGCTCTGGGACCTGTAAAGCCTGTAAATCTGTTGTAGGGAAGCTCGGGGTGCACCATCCAGGAGGGAGGTAAAGGAGCTGGAAGAAGCCCTGGCTGGCACTATGGAATGTCTGTACTTCAGGGTAGGCTGAGCCCACGGAGGTCGGCATGGAAGTCCAGCAGCACACCCACAGTCCCCCATCCGCTCCCTTCTCAAGAAGCCCTGCCAAGCTTGGGAAGGAGACATTCAGAAATGATTTGCACATTGGAGCATCTCCCACCAATTCCAAATTTTCAGCCCAGCCCTATGACAGAGCTTTGATCCACTCGAAGACATCCATCCATGTTCCTGAACCAATTGGAAAGCTGATAAAACCAGGGCAGCAAGTCCAACAAAACTGTGGGAGTTACGCAGAACTTGAAGAGGGACTATTGGAGCACCTGGCTTTTTAAGTTGAAGACAATCTGGGCCAAAAGGCTGGGCCAATTGAGGGTGAGGCCTTATTCTCAAGACTCTACTTTAGACAAGGAATTTTCCCAGCCCAGAAATGCACATCTTATCTAAGGTCAGACTGAGTGAGAACTTTCTTGAGCCAATGAATCTCCTCCATTTCATTACATCCTGAGATAAAAATCTCTGCAGCTGAGAAGCTGGTGGATTTAAATTTAGATTTCCAGTGTGACCCGCCCTTGCCACCACCTTTCAGAGGGAGGAGCAGCTGGCATAATTCCCCTGGGATTTCACTGCCCCAAAATCTGGGCTCCTTCCCACTGGTACCTGTCCCCAATTGGATGAATGAATGGGCTAGTTTTACTCTCCCTGTCAAGACTGGATGAGTGTGTGTGGTGGTGGGAAGGGGGGTTGTTCCATTGTTCCATTGTCCCAGAAAAAAAGCACACAGCTCCCACATGTGGTCTCCCCAGACCTATAGCAGTGACAGTGAAAAATGAGATTAATCTATGAGGAATATTTTTGTACCTGGATTATAGAGCTGCTTACTGTTTTTATTGAGGGCAAACTGGAAGTGAGTGGTATCTGTTCCTGATGAAAGTGTTTTCTGTCCCTATCAGGAAATTTCTTCTAGCATTTTTCAGTGCCAGTTCCCATGGCATAGGTCCCTAGAGAGCTCTCTTCTGCTAGAGAACTCCATTTTGCCCAGAATATTAAACCAAGACTTTTGATCTAGACTTTAAGAGCCCTTTCTGGACTGACTCCTCTCCTCCTGCCTTTATTTTCCATTTTCCCACCTGGGTCATCTCTCTTTTAATATTCCCAGGATTTGTATCCATCTCACTCTCTCATTCTATCACTCTATCTCTGTCTCTTTCTCTGTATGTCTGTCTTTCTCTCTTTCTCTCTCTCTCTCTATCTCTCTCTCTCATACACACACACACACACACACACACACACACACTTCCCATCCCCTCTGAATGAGATGATATAGTCTTCTGAAAAGACTATGATGATCCTGATTCCTGCCTAGGGAAAGGATGGAAATGGTTAATCTTGACGTCTGGGTGGCCCTACTCTTGCAGGGCCAGAGCCAAGTCAGAGTCCCTTTTTGTTTTAGTTTATGTAGTTGTTGTTTGCTTGTTTGTTTGATGGTCCTGGGGCTTGAACTCAGGGCCTGGTAACTGTCTCTGAGTTTCTTTTGTTTAAGGCTAGTGCTCTACCACTTGAGCCACAGTGCCACTTTTTCTGAGTAGTTTACTGGAGATAAGAGTTTTATGGACTTTTCTGCCCAGGCTGGCTTCGAACTGTGATCCTCAGATGTCAGCTTCCTGAGTAGCCAGGATTACAGGAGTGAGCCACTAGCATCTGAAGTCAGAGTATCTTAGAGCAACACAAGCACCATCCCAGGAGTCAACTATCCATATCTGTTCCCAATCCGCAGTGCTAGAAATTGATCCACAGATTGTAATCAGTCTGACAGTGCTAGAAAACTGGGGTTCATTTGTATAATCCTAACTAGGCCCTTGCCCTCTCTCTCTCCATGACTTCCTCCTTCCATAGTATCTGGTCTTATTTTTCCCATTGAATATAGAAAGAAAAATCCCTTTAATCCCCCTCTCAGCCTCTACCACATGAAATCTTAGGGCAATAAGATGTGAAATGCCACCATACACATATCCCCACCATCTTCCACCTTCTCCTTCCACCTCCTGCCAAATAGTTAACTTTATAACTCCCCATGTAGCCTCTTCCATCTCAAGATCAATGGAAAGGTGCACCTTACATGAAGCCAAATCTGCTGGAGTTCCCACCTGCCCATGTGGGTCATCCACTGAGATCAGCCTCCTCTTCCTCCTCCTCCTCCTCATCATCATCATTATATCATCACCATCCCCTTCCTCCTCTTCCTCCACCCTTCTTATGGAGACCCTTCTAATATTTGCAGGTAGCTGTCATATCTTTCCCAAAGACTGCTCTCCAAGCCCACCAACCACTCAATGTAGCTAGACTTCTGGTACTCTATCATTACTGTGCTGGTTCCTATCACTGAATAAACCCCTGTGAATCCTTGACAGTAATTCAGAGCCCCCAGAGTGGTCAGATGACTATAGAAGGGTCTGAAAGAAATCTCTTCCTGGTGCTCTCCTTCCTGGTTCCCATGCTTGTCTCCAGAAGTTACCACGCCCTACAGATTCATATGTTCTCACCAACAGCAGAATACTGTCAATCACTTTTATGCCTACTGCTATCTAACCACATCTGCCCTGCCTAGTCTTGTGCTTGTGATTTTCTACTTTAAGTATAAGACACTACATCTGACCTTCCTCTTTCCTTTTCCCCTGGGTCAGCTTCTGCATATCTTTCCCTTTCCCAGCCTGCTTTTAACAGACCTGTGGCCAAGACAGGTTGCAATAGGAAGAAATTTCTCAGCAAGTAGGTTGGGTGTGCCTGGGAACATAATGTCTTATCAATATGGTTGCAACCATATTTGAGTGAATCCCAAATCCAAATTACATCTATGCTTCTTTAGGGAATAAGAAGGCAAGTCACAACTTTTATGTGACTTTTTGTACAGACTCAGAAATACAAATGGGCTAAGGTGATGGCTTAACTGGCTCCATTTCTTTCTAAATTTCTGCATTCTATCTTCTGTTAAGGCGTCAGTTAAAAATGTGTCCTCTGCCCTTTACCCCCACCCAGTTAACAGGTCTCAGCCTCTTACCTCCCAGCTGTTTCTCCCTGCTGCTCCCTACTGGCTCAAACATATTCACTGTCTACCTTTGAGTCTCTGGGCAGACTAGTCATCTCTCCTAAGGACCCTCCATGATGTCCCTGCCACACCTGCTCCTAGTCTCTTCCCTAGCTCTGTGCCACCTTCCTGTCCTCCAGAAGCCCACTGGGATCAAACTTCCCTTTCCCAACAGCTGTGGGCCCAATGGTTCTCTTCCAGTGGGTCTGCCTATGCACTCAGGTCTTGTTTCACCCTCAGGCTATATGGCCCACAGGAACACACTCTAGCTTTTCCTCCCCCTCAACATTTCTTTCCCACCCCCACCCAATATTATTTGAATTATGGGCACTTTCAAGATTCAACATGTTCCTCATCATTTCATTTCCAGGGCCTAAGCCTCTGCCTGCCACACTGTAGGAGCTTAATAAATGCCCACTGAACAAATGTGTACCTAATTCTTAAATGATGGATCACTTTTAAGATTATGTCCTTGATGCTCTCCAAGATGGTGTATTGCAGAAAGGCATGATGGTGTACAACTGTAACACCAGCTACTCAGGAGGTAAAGGCAAGAGGATTTCTAAAATTCAAGGCCAGCCAAGGCAATAAAAGATCTCAAAACTGGGGCTGGGAAGGTAGCTCAGTGGTAGAGCGCTTGCCTTGCATGCATGAGGCCCTGGGTTCGATTCCTCAGCACCACATAAGCAAAAAGAAAA